TCCGTAGGTGGGCTCTTAGAAAGTACGCACAAAGGAGGGAAACTAAAACAGCCTCAAGATGGAGAGGAGGGTCAGGAAAGGCTTTCTAGAGGAGGTAACACCTAAGCAGGTTCTTAAAGGTAGGGAGAGTTCTGGGACGGCTGTGGCATCGTAAGTCTACTCTCGTCCATCTCTCCCACCGGTTACAACTAAAAACTCATCACAAAATACAGGCAGCAACTGCCTGAGGATTCTGAAAAGTAAAAGACTGTGAAGGAGAGGCACAACTTGAAAAAGAAACCTGCGAGGGGGATGGGTTTCGTGGCCTTTTTTTTCCTTTCTCTTGTGATTTTGTCCTGAGGGGAGGCCCCAGTTCCCCAGGGAACTGTTCGGCTGCCTGAGTAGCTAAAACTCTGATAGAAACACTGTCCTCTATCCAGGGATACTGAGGAAAGGTCCTGGGAACTGAGAAAAGGTTCCCCTGTGAGTTGGAAAGTGAGGAGGGAGGGGGGAGAAGACAGGGTTACAGAAGGTGATTCCTAATTTTGTGTAGGAACCACTTTAAGTCTTAGGTTCGTTCACTGCTGAGTTGCACTTGTTTTTAGCCAAAGCAGCAAAGCAAAGGCTTTGACAACTGAGTCAAACCACAGGGCAAATCTCAGACTAACCCCTGAGTGGTACATGTTCAGGACGGACCCAGAGCAACGGAGCAGAGGCTTTGGAAACCGAACTGAGAATGAAATCCTCACCCACAGAAGGTGATACAAAACCTGTAATATGAACTCAACCAGGTTGAAAGTCTGCTTAAACAAACATACATTCTCCAGAGGAGGATTTTAACAGGATCCAAGGGCAGCACCATGTTAACTCTCACAATGTCCACGATATGATAGAAAACAACCTGTGTAAAAATTAATGGAAGGAAACTTTGTTTAAAATGGAGTCAAGGACAGTCGGTTAAGTGTCCGACCTCGACTCAGGTCATGATCTCACGGTTGGTGAATTCGAGCCCTGCATTGGGCTCTGCACTGAGCGCTCAGCCTGGAGCCTGCTTCAGATTCTGAGTCTCCCTCTCTCTCTCTGCCCCTCCCCAGCTTGTGTTCTCACTCCCTCTCTCTCTCAATAATAAAATAAAATAAATAAAATAAAATAAATAAAATAAAATAAAATAAATAAAATAAAATAAATAAAATAAAATAAATTAAAATAAAATAAAATAAAATAAATAAAATAGAGTCAAGAGGCCAGCAGGGGGAGCTCTTTCACCCCGCCACTCATCCTTAATTGCAGATCCAACAGCAGGAGACATACCTTGCTGCATAGTAAGTTGGAGACTACTTCTAAATACTACCTGACTATCCTAGCAAGAAGGAAGAGAGGTTTTCCTCCTCCTCTGGCAACAGCCCTGCCAATGACAGAATGTCACAAGTCAGCCAATGAAAATCCACCATACTGTGAATTCCCGGTTTACTCCAGTGGACATTTTGTTCATAATAATTCTCCCAACTCTCCTCTTTCCTCTATGAGTGTTCCTCCCCTTTGTTCTCTGGACTTGCCAATGGTTTTGTGGTAGCTTCCTGTTCCAGACTGCAATTCTACGCTATTCACAAATAAGTCCTTTTTTTTTTTGCTGGTAAAATAACTGGCTGTTTTAGTTTTAAGGTTAACACCTGTCACACAAAGAACCAGGAAGCGGTGGCCGAATCCTTGGGGAAAAGACAATCACCGTAACAACCCCAAGATAACACAGGTGTTGGAGTTTTCAGACAAAGACTCTAAAGCAGCTATTACATGTTGCAGGAGGTAAAGATAAACACACGTGATACAGATGTAAAGACATTTTCAGCAGAGAAAGTATAAAAAAGAACTGAGCGGAAATTTTGAACTGAAAAGTACAGAATGTGAAAGAAACAAATTCACTAGATGGGTACAATATCAGAATGGAGATGATGGAAGAAAGCAGCAGTGAACTTGAAGATAGATAAGTCAACAGAAATTATCTAAAATGAAGAGAAGGGGATAAAAAGCCTGGAAAAAAAAAAAAAACAAAACAGAACACAGGAGCATCAGGGACCTATGCAACAACATCAAAAGGTCTAACGTACAAGTCATTCGAGTCCCAGAAAGACAGGTGAAGGAGGCTGAGAAAAAATCATGTGAAAAAGTAATGGCTAGAAACTTCCCAAATTTGGTAAAGGGCGCATCTACAGATTCCAGAAATTTGGTGGACTCCAACACTTAAATTCAAAGACAATCAGGCCTAGATCTCTCAAAATCAAACTACTGAAAGACAGCGATAAAGAAAAAATCTTGAAAGCAGCCAGAGAAACATGAAACACTACATAAAGAGCAAAGATCAAATGACTGCAGAGCTCAGGGTAGCCGGAAGACACTGGAACAACACCTCTAGGTGTGGAAAGTAAAGTACAAGAATCAGAAGCCTATATCCAGTGAAAACATTTTCAGTAATGAAGGTGAAATACAGACATTCCTAGATGAAGGAAAACTTAAAAAGCTGCTGTCAGTAGACCTGCCCTAAAAAACGCTGAGGATGAAGGGAAAGGATACCCAGAAGGAAACGTGGATGTTTAGGAATGAAGGAGGAGGAGCAGCAGCAAATCTAACTATCTAGGTTAATGTAAAAATCCTTATTTTTTTATATTAAATTCTTTTTTTTTTTTCAACGTTTATTTATTTTTGGGACAGAGAGAGACAGAGCATGAACGGGGGAGGGGCAGAGAGAGAGGGAGACACAGAATCGGAAACAGGCTCCAGGCTCCGAGCCATCAGCCCAGAGCCCGATGCGGGGCTCAAACTCCCGGACCGCGAGATCGTGACCTGGCTGAAGTCGGACGCTTAACCGACTGCGCCACCCAGGCGCCACCGCCCCCCCCACTTTTTTTTTTTAAGTAGGTTTCACACCCAGCGTGGAGCCCAATGCCGGGCTGCAAGTCACAGATTGAGAACTGAGCTGAGATCAGGAGTCAGACACTTAACCAACTGAGCCACCCAGGTGCCTCTCTCTTAAATTCTTTAAAATAAGTATGATTATTGAGAAGACAGGCAGGAATAAGGCAGATGCTCTTAGTTACAGGGGACTAAGGTGCTGTAACAAAAATTCAGTGATTTTAAAAAACAGGTTTTTTTCTCTCATATCACAGAGGGAGGCATTGTCTCTGGCCTTTCTGCTCATATTCTATTGGCATCCTAACTACAAATTCAGCTGGGAGAAGTCGTGGAGCTGGGGGAGTCACACACTGGGTTATAGCTTCGTTACTTAGGAAGAACAGGCAAATGGATTTTGATGCGTAGCTAGCAGCCTCTCCTGCAGCAGGTGAAACAGGAAGGCATTTTGGACAAGAGGGGACAATATGATCAAAGGTATGGAAGAGAGAAAAAACATGTAAAGAGCTAATAGCAATTTTGATGTTGTTGGAATGTAAATAATGAGATAAAGCTAGAGAGGTGGGTTGCGGCAGAGGAAGATGGATTTTATTCTTGAGGAGTTGAAGGGTTTTATACCGCAGATTTTCATTTCACTGAACTACTCAGGGGTGAAAGATGGGAGAACAGAAGACTAGCGGAGAGAAACCTAATTAGGAGCTTAGGGGGATAGTTTTGGTGAGAGGTGATCAAGTTTTAAAAGTAGGCTGTAATTGGGGCGCCTGGGTGGCTCAGTCCGTTGGGCGTCCGACTTCGGCTCAGGTCACGATCTCGCGGTCCGTGGGTTCGAGCCCCGCGTCGGGCTCTGGGCCAATGGCTCGGAGCCTGGAGCCTGCTTTCGATTCTGTGTCTCCCTCTCTCTCTGCCCCTCCCCCACTCATGCTCTGTCTCTCTCTGTCTCAAAAATAAATAAAAACGTTAAAAGAAAATAAAAGTAGGCTGTGATCATAGCATAGTTTTAGAAATATCTGTGGAAATAAAACTGGCAGGACTTGGAGATAAACCGAGGAGAAAGAAGGAAGCAGCAAGGCAGGATCTCACGTTCCTTACAAAGATGGCCAGGCGGCTGGTGGTATCAGCATGGAATATCCCAGAGCAGGAGCAGATTTCTTTAGGAAAAGGAGGAGTTCGGTTTCAGGTGATAAAGATAAAATACTGTGAAGCTTGAATTCCTACAGAATATATTAAATCTCAGTGAGTTGAAGCGTGGAGCTCAAGACCAAACTCCTCTGGATGGCGTACAAGACCCTCGGTAATGTGCACCTAACCTACCTCTTCTATCATCCTCTATTCTCTTTAATACGCATACCTTTTGCTTCAACCACATCAAACTCTTCTCAGAGGCCTTCCCGGACTCTGCAATCTAAAACAGGTTCCCTTAAATCACAGCATCTGTACTTTGAGGTAAATTGGGAAGGGCTTAATGACCAAATGGATGGGGCTGGGGTTGGAAGGGAAATGATGAGGAGGCTCAGGTTTGTAGTCTGGGAGCCTAAGTGGGTAAAAGAAACCAGGTGCAAAAGAACATTTCCAATAGACAAAGAACAATATTTACGCGTTTTGAGGCTGTGGTCCGGTCAAAGGGGAAAAGGAATCAAAAAGCTGGAATCGGATAAAGACAAGGCCTTTCCTCCTTCGGCGGCATACCTTTTACTCAGGGATCCTGAAAACCCACGTCCTGCTCGGCTTTCTTAAAACAACGGTATTCTTCGCAGGGATTGAAGCCAGAGTGGGCTTGAAACCTCGGCTTTGGGTCCAGATTTCTCTTGAGCCATTGTTACACTGCGTATGTACAGCCCCTTACTCGCTGACTGACCTTGGGCAAGTTTCTACTTATTTTCTATGACTTAATTCTCTTCTGTGTAAAACGAGGGTAACATGGAATTTGGAGGGTTTTATGAGTGTTAATTGAGATGATACCCGTGAACGCTTCCATGAGGTTCAACAAATGCTGTGGAGTGACAGATGGACGACACAGTTCAAAGGCACGAGGGCAGCAATTCTAGGGAGCTAAGACACAGACCTCCGGGCTTCCTTTGCCCAGCGAGGAGACCCAGGGAGCGGTCGCAAAGCCATACCTTGCAAACCTCGGTCCGCATTTCCTCGGGACAGTGTGGCCGCGTCTTTCCTCACGATCGACCGGGTCCCAGGCTGCAGCTTCAGCTCACTCCGCCACGCGGCGCCCGCTCGCGGGGCCTCTGTGGGCTCAGCTGTGTGTGATGCCCGGGCCCTAGGGCGAAGTCCGGTCTCCCAGGCAACCACATAAACTTCCGGTTTGAGGCAGGCTGGGGTTGGCGAGAGGCCACATTTCCGCCACGTGACACCCCCCCCCCCCCCCCCCCGCCCCGGCACCTTGAGGGCTGAAGGGCGCGCGTCGCGGGCCTGCAACCTCTGGCTAGTTCCGAAGTTGGACTTCCCGGCCCTGAAGGGGGCCAGGAAGGTGGGGAGGTGGCGCCAGCGGGGACGGCCGGACCTGGAGGGGCGGGGCCTGGCTCAGCTCCCAGTTCCCGAGGCTCGGCTGAGAAGCCGGGCGGCGGCAGGACTGCTTCTCCCGAGCCGCCGAGCTGGAGCTGGAGCTGGAACTCCGCGGGGCCGGGGCCCCGGGTGCCGGGCAGCGGCTCCTCCAGGCCGAGGCCGCGGCGGAGAATGAGGCGGTGGCGGGTTCCCGGCGGAGCCGCCGGGCGGGAAGCATGCTGCGCTGGTTCATCACCGTGATCCTGTGTGCCGCCTTCCTGGGTCTGGTGAGAGCCGGGGGCTGGAATCCTCCCAGGCCGGGGGCGTGAGCAGGCGTCCTGCAGAGAACGCCGTCTTCCGAGTTCGAGTCTCGCCTCTGCCTCTTGCAAACTGTGCGACCTTGGGCGCATTCATCTGCCCCCAGACTTAGTTTCCTAATCCGAAAAATGGGCACAGGTCTAATCTTGGAGGGTTATTGTCAAGTGATTTTCCTAACATATTTTCCAGCTCCAGCCAACCGTCCTCCCTCTCCTACGTGGGGTGGGGAGCTGCAAGGGGGTTTGCCGGGTTTATAGCCCCTGCCCCTCGCGCCCACGCAGACCCCATATTATTACACAAAGCTGCTTTTCTGGGATTTCTTCTTCCTCGTCTGACAAAATATAGCCACCTCCTTATTTTTGCAGATGGGGAAATAGACCCAGAGAGGGAAAATGCCTTTTCCAGACCACACAGCTGGCTTTAAGTGGTGGAGCCAGGAATAATATGTCTCTTATTCTGCCCACAATCTTATGTAAAACAAACCCGTAGATCCTTCGGTGTTTTTCTTAGAGTAAACTGCAAGGCCAGAAGCGCCTTTTGACCAACCCCTTGACCTTCCAGCCATTACCTTATTTCTGGACCTCTCCGTCTCGTCACTTGTCTGGAATATTGGGATCTTGGGGATTTGGTAGGGTGAGTTCTCTGAGGAGAGTCGCTTCTGGTCCTTTAGCATCTTTCTCTGGAGTCACAACGGATTCTTAGAATGTGTCGATGTGGAAAAAGGAAAAATCATTGCGGACGCTTGGGGAGTCCTCACCTTGCGCCAGGTCCTGTTTTAAGTGTTTGGCAGGCCGGAAGTAATTTGATTGGAGATGAAGCTCAGCCTTCCCTCCATATACCAGGTGCTCACTCTGCCCTTAGTCTGGGACTGCTCTGGCTGGGGCAAGAGGCACACCCAAGTTTTAGAGCAGAGCAGTCCAATTAGAATCAATTAATCTTGAAGCCTAGACCGATAGAAACATTTTTTTATGTGTCCAGCAACTATCCTCTGATGGCTTGGGGTTTTCTTTGAAGAAAAATGTAGACTCAGAAACATTTAAATTGCTTATCTCCTGCGGATGTTGTATGTGTCAGAGGAAGGACCCCCAAGTACATCCAGAAATATTGCTCTGTTTTAACCACATCAAAAAAACAGGAACAATATTACAATATTTTAATAAATTTTTTAACCTCTAAGTTCCTATTATGTGTATATAATCTAGTATATTGAAATGCCAAGACAAAAATTATTTTAATGTTACATTTTACCGTTGGTACAACAGTCTTCTGTGGTATTGTTCGAAAAGGAAACAAAACTGCAGCAAAGAGCCAAAAAAATTAAATATATATTTTTTTAACTTGAGAGTTGTCAAAACTAGAAAACCAGTAGGATTTGACACACCAGATACAGGGAGCCTGAAGCTCCAGTATACTAGTACTGTCGTCCTGAAATTTTCCTGGCTGTAAGACTTAAAATATTCCCCTATGTTACATTGAAATCCCCTCCTGTCTTTTTAATAGGGGAAGAAAGCTACCACGTAGACATTATTTTAATGGCTGCAAGTAAGAGATTTCGTCTTTTTAAATTTTAGGGAATGAGTGTTGCTATACTGGGACCCACATTTCAAGATCTGGCAACAAATGTGAACCGCAACATTAGCAGTCTTTCTCTGATTTTTGTGGGCCGTGCCTTTGGCTATTTGAGTGGCTCTGTGATTGGCGGAGTTCTTCTTGACGCCATGAATCATTTTCTACTCTTGGGTAAGTACAACACCAATTGTAGCTCTTTGCAACTTTTGTGGAATTCACAGTTTGTTTTAAAACATGAAATATACTAGCTTGCAGAGTGGTTGACGACTCAAATGGGTGGTATACAGGCATGCCTGTTTTCCTCTTTGCAGTTATAGGGAATCTGTGCTGGGCCCGCTCTGGAAATTTAGATTAGCCCCAAGGTGTGCTACCCGTCCTTCGCCTTCCTGACCATCACTGTAATTTAGGCACCACCCCTGGATCCGCCAGCCAACATACCAGTTGTCCAAAGATCTTGGCTTGTCAGGGCTTAGGGCAGATCTCCTAGGGCCACCATAGGTCAGAATGAATTCCTTGACCCTGCCCAGGCTAGACCCTGGACTGAGCATGAAGGTGGGAGGGAACGGTGGGTGAAATGACACAGGCTAAATTTTTGTCCCTGCCGCCCCATGTTAATGGTGACTCCAGACCTCTCTACCCCACCCTCAGAATAGATGGCAAAGCTTTTAACTTACTCTTTTTGAATAAATAGATATGTTTGAAGTTTATTTTTTGAGAGAGAAAGAGCACGAGTGGGGGAAGGGCAGAGGGACAGGGGGACAGGATCTCAAGCAGGTTCTGCACTGTCAGCACAGAGCCAGTGCAGGGCTCGAACCCACAAACTGTGAGATCATGACCTGAGCCAAAATCAAGAGTCAGATGCTTATCTGACTGAGCCATCCAGGCGCCCCTGAATAAATAGATATGTTTAAAGAAAATCTGGATTGGGGCACCTTGGTGGCTTAGTCAGTTGGGCATCCGACTTTAACTCAGGTCATGATCTCATGGTTTGTGGGTTCGAGCCCTGCGTTGGGCTCTGTGCTAACAGCTCAGAGCCTGGAGCTTGCTTCAGATTCTGTGAGTGTGTGTGTGTCTGCCCCTCCCCTGCTTGTGTTCTCTCTCTCTCTCTTTCAAAAATAAATAAAATTAAATTAAAAAATTTGGATTAATGTGATGAAACTGCTTTGGAAGTAAGGAGAATAATTTACTGTTATTGATGAATAAATGAATAACCACTCAGATTTCCAAAGTGGGTTGAGAACACATATCTGTGTGGCATTTCCCTCCCTATTCCCTACCTAATTATTTAATACACTTCTACAACAAACTATAGTAATTGCATCTTATTTTTCTCTTTTTAATTTCTTACCTCCTATCTAAAAATCCCTCTAGGTTCTCTTGAGCTGTCTGGTTTGCTATAAAACTTTGCCTTATGGTATCTAATTTGATTATTAGCGTTGCTAGAAATGAACTCCTGTTAGGACAACTTAGATTTTATAGTCCATAAAGATTATGGAAGCTTATAAAGGAAATAACCATTTGTAGATGCTGAACGTCTCATCCAGTTGCTATTACTTAATTGTAATTTCACCTACTTCTATTTATAGTTTTTATGATGTTGACTTGATTCGCGAATATTGTTTTTGATAGCTGACTTTTACCTTTCTTCTCAGGGGTGTCAATGTTGGCCACGACAGTTGGTCTCTATCTTGTTCCATTCTGTAAGACAGCGGGATTACTGATTGTCATGATGTCCATCTTTGGTGTTTCAATTGGCATTCTGGATACAGGTCAGTGAGCCCTTCAGTGTCCCCTTTGGGAGTGGGGACTTCCTATTAGAAAAAGTAGAATGGATGACATCAAATGGCTATTTGCAGTGTAAAATGACACCAGCCTACTGAATTGCTCCTGGGGTCACCCAGTCAGAACCACCCTTTTGGCAACTACTCTTCTTGCCAAGTCGGGTACCTGTTTTTGAGCAGCCAACCATGGAGTGAATTTAAAGAACTTTGTTCAGTGAGGGATTATTGCTTTATGGTATCCAAACAGGAAAGGGTCCGCCACGTGGGTAACTATGGTGCAGGTGAAGGGGCTTTCATTTTGGGATAGAACTTGATCAGTGTAGTATGGGAGGAATTGATGGGTTACTAGGTTGAACCAGCTGGCTGAGGAATCCTAGAAGCGGCTATCCAGTTTTAAAAAGCACTCTGCCTTTCTGAGCAACCTGTGCTCTGTATTATTTTCCTGCTCTTTTGTTTACTCTCAAAACCTCCTGCCTTCTTGCAGGAGATCCTCTCCATGGGTCTTGGTATCTTTTAAAAACCTACTAAATAATATGCTTGGCATTTTTGTCCACCCCTAAAAGCAACTCTTATCCCTTGCTCTACTGTTACTTAATAGATCGGGGATGTTTTGTACTTTAGGCTTCGTTTGGTTTAAAAAAAAACAACAACAACAGAAAGAAAACCCAAGACTTGATGCTTCTTGCCTTTCACCTTGTAGAGGAGGTATCCTTGTTACCTGTCATGGGCACAGCAGAACTCTATAGTGTTCGGGTTTCTGAACACGTGTTTTGCATCTGTTCTATACATGAATCATTTCCCTCAACTGGCTGCTTGGTAATTTGACCAGTATCTGGTGATCATATATACTTAAAATGTTTATAAATAAATATCCACCCTCGCCCTGCCATCCTGGTATTAGAACTGTGTTATAAAAAGCCTTGGGCTAATGTCCCTAGCTCTAGGAGGGAGTGGTTTACTAGCTTGAGGAATCCATTTGTGAGTATGTGATGTTACACTGCTTCCAGTTCTCTGGTGGTGGGAGGTTAGAGTGCCTTAATCACAGAATTGGGCGAGTTGTAACATCTGATCATTTAGAATGTTATATAATCCTAGTGCCACATAAAGTAGGCTCTTCCTCTTTCTGATAGTAATGAACGGGTTTTTGCCAAGTTTCTGTGATTAAATCATTTTCCTCATCTTTCATTGGTAGGTGGTAACGTCCTAATCTTGGCCATATGGGGGGACAGAGGAGCCCCACATATGCAGGC